ATGTCAGCTTAATGAGTAGTGAACCATGCATTATAAAAGATGTTCATTCTGCACTATTTCACTGAAATATGAAGATGACAACTCAGTCATGTCCATCAGCATACATGCTTAGTGATCCAATGATGCAGAATGTTTTTTCTCTTGACCTCTAACCAGGAAAGCTTTTCATTTCTCCATGAGGTAGCTCTCTTTCATTTGGACAAGAAGAAATAGTATTTATTGAAGTAGACTCCTATGGTCTGCAAACCAACTTTTCAGCTTAGTGAATCAAGATCTGCCTGCACTTAGGTTGCTTTTGCCAGTATTTAGCAACCTAACAGGTCTGCCTTAAGTAATTGTGTGTTAGGTAGTTGAGATGTAGTGCAGTCAGAAGCATAAGCTGTATGGAAGGATGGGATGGAAAGAACCCGAATGAGATTTGCCTAAAGCTGCTATGGCAGCTCACATAGACAGAGATGAATTTTGAACTGAAGAAAGCCCAAGTGTTTTTGTTTAACCGAGTGGTTTTCTCACTTTTAAATAAGCTGCCCTATAGTAATTTGTTCTGATTTTTCTGGAAGAAAATTCTCATGTTTTCAACTATCAACTGAGAAATTTTACCAAGGATATTTCCATATTTAAAAAGTAAAAAAATCTGACCATTTATAACACTTTTTTAACCACCATACCTTTAGTTCTAAGAAAAAATTAATACTATTTTTGCATTAACATAATGCAAAAATAATGTAGAATCCTGCTACGTTCTTCTCTGAATGTTAGCCACTTCTGCTCTCCAGTTAGATTTAAGAATTGTATTAAGTACATTCATCAGTAAAACGTGATTATTGTATGTAATAGTAACTTATTTTATGTGAGATGGGGTTTTGATGACAACAGTAGAACTATATTACTCAGATTCTTTGCATATCCCAGAATTCTGGCATTCAGTGATTATTATATGAAACAAAAATTGGGAATTGCCTGCAAGCATTGTAATGAATTCACTGTGTAAATGGGCTATTCCAAGTATTAGCAAATCTTTGGAGAAAATGCTCCACAAAGCTTCTAATACTGTGGCTCAGAGGAGGTTAAAGGACACCTGTGTTTTTTATTCCTTGGATTACTCAAATGGGCAGTGCATCTTTCTACTGATGCCCGGAGAAGTGGTGTGTGCCCCATCCCTGGAGGTGCCCAAAGCCAGGCAGGTTGGGACATGGACAGCCCGATCTACTGGGTGGCAGCCCTGCCCATGGGAAGAGGCTGGAGCTGAGTAGTGGTCCTTAGGGTCCCTTCCAACCTAAACCATTCTGTGATTTAAAAAGTATTTAAATGACCTGTTTTAGGGAGGTGTCTGTGAAACAGAGACAGAATGTATCCTTCATTTTTCTTTCTGAGGGATTGCTATACCCCTTCAACTTTGTTTGTGTCAAGTTAGTGAAGAAAAGGAACAACCCCTTTTCCTTTTCTTTCTTCTGTATTTTTATGCACTTATACAGCCAAATTTAATTGCATATGCAGTGCAGTCATGTTCTGCATGATGGATGAAAAGCTGTTCTCAAGTGGATGAGTATGTCATGACTGAATTAGCTGGCCCCCTGCTTTTGTTATTTTAAAAAGGTCTATGTACTAAAAAAACTAGTTCTGTTAAATATTAGCAAGGCTGTAGAGAGAATTCTGATCACTGAAATTGACTGAAGATGTATTGTCTGCCTTGTGTGTTACGTCTGGTAAATAGCTGGTTGCTGTGGTGACTGCCTAAAAGGTAGAGGGTCATTGGTACCACATAAATTCTTTAAACAAAACTTGATCATAGCAAATTCTAACATTAGTCTTCAAAAAAGGATTAAAGAGGAGGAAGAGATTCAGACAGCTTTTTCCTTTTGTAAACTTGCTGCTTTATAGGGGAAAAATAGCTAGAAATAATATGTCTCGTACGAAATGAAAAGGTTGTGGATTAAGGCATTGCCTTGGTGAAACAGCTGTACGAATGTGAAACAGAAAGTTCTCCAGCTTCAGCTATTATGGGTTTGTTTGGCTAGGTCTAATTTTGGAAATCGTTATAGCAAAGGTAAATGACTTGCACAGGAGACTACTGTAAACAAAGGACTCGATACATTTACTTTGGCAGGAGGCTTGAGAAGACTCGGTCCTTTCACTGCCTCTTTTTTACAGCCTCTGTAATACTCTCACTGACTGCCTGTGTACGCGGGCGGCTCATTTCCCTTCCTCCCCCTCTGGCAGCTTCTTTTCCATGACAGGTAGGATTTAAGGGTGGCAGCACCTGCTGTTGAATTGCTGGTGAGTAGCTGTGCGATGCCTTTATTCTTGTGGTAGCTGTCCCTTGACTTCAAGAGCCACTGCATTTTGCTCAAGTAAGAATCTCCATTCTCTACAAGCCAAGTACTGGTGTACAATCTGTTTCAAATACTTTGCTTTTCAATTGTGGCTCCTCTGTTTGCATTGTTACATCTTTTACCTTATCTTTTAATAGCTTTATAGCTACAGACTGTAGGTATACCGGTGCTTAGCTGAATTTTCTACTTTTTCAGTGAGGATTAAAGCATGGGAATAATAATTCCCTTCCTAGGTCTCTGCCCATTCCGCACCTACTCACTCTTGTGTGGGTGCAAGAAAGCAACTCCTGTGATGACAGTGGCCACACAGAGCCTGCTTTGCTCTTCTATAAAGCTCTTTAAGAACAGATCATGTGCATGTAGGAGAACATACACTGATTGCTAAAACTGAAAGGATGAAGTAGAGGGTCACAGTCAATATTCTGTTTGCTGATTTCCCTGATTGCTGGAGAGTCCCCTTTGCATTCCATGTGAGGGGGATTTCTGGGTGCTGTCACTTCCCAAATTGTCTGGAGGTGCTTTCAGTCAAGGAATAATAGTTCAGCTTTTACCTTAACTCATAAATGAGGCGGGCTGAACTCTACCTTGAATTCATTAAAACACAATGTTGTTATGTTGTGTGTTCAAATCACAGGAAACCCATCCCTGGGCACTCTCTCACACATTTGAATCCTGTGGAGGACTGTTGCTGGTCATTCTGGTACATCACTTGTACCAACAGAATTGATGGGGTCATTTTCTGTTCCATTAGAAGAGAGGATTCTCCTTATACCTGGAAATGCTCCATTAGTGCTTGTTAACTAGAAATACAGTAATTGAGGAGCTGGTAGGAAAAGATTTTTTAGTAACCCTGATTTCTAAATTGGAGCATAACCATATAATAATTAAACATAAAAATATTTAACCAATATGACTGATACAAATAAGCCCCAATAAGCCAACAGTGAAATTGAGTGCCTGGAAAGATGTTTTGTTTCAGATTATTTTCATCTCATGCTGTATATACAATATATCTGTGTGCTTTCATGTCATGCAGTTGATTCTGGAGAAAAAGATGTGGTTTTAGCTGCATGAACTCTTTTGAACTTCCTTCCACCTGCATGGTCTTTGAATGTCAGGTGAAGCATGCAACTTCTGTTTTACTTGTATTATTTTCTGATGTCTTAAGAAATCAGAAGACAACAAAAAACTTAACTTGAAAAGAGGCAGCAACCTGATCTCAAATCTTACTGTGGGGAAAAAAATCACAAAACATACATCTCTTGTAAAAGCTAGCACAGTGAATAAGAATTAATAAAATGTAGACTTTTTTGAGAGAGGAGATGTGAAGATGTTATCACATTCTTCTGCATAAGTTAGTGGAGAGCTGGAAATGATGACTTGTGGTTACTGCCCCTAATGTTTGAATACAAACCTAAAGTCAGGCCAGGAGTTTTGGCTATGACAGATTTGTTGCAAATTTCCAGTGTAAAATCCAATCTAATATTTCAGAGGCAGAGGTGTGGCTTCAACAGAATAGAAACTCTTGGAGAAGTGAACTCTAAGAAGTTTGTGTGCTGTCTAATCACCAAGTGCCCCATGCATTGCTTTGGTCAGGATGTGGCTGCCTTCCATAAAGTGAAGAATCAGTATCATCTGCAGCCAAGCCTAAGATCAACTACCACTGTGATATATAGACAACCCATTTTCCAACTGTGAATTTAATATTGTAACCTTTTCATTAAACAGTGATATAACATAACAATTTCTAGAACGTAATACTCATAGGCATTTGTGTATTCCTGCTAAATAGCAATATGCTGCTCCTCTTAATTAATGTCTATTGTGGACAGTGTTTTGCTCCCTTTATACACATTGAAATGCTCTATATGTGTGACGTTCTCTATTGAAATATGTTACATTTCAGCTAGAAAAAAATAAATATGCGTTATGATAGTGTAAACCTATGCTGAGATGATATCTGTCACTCCTAGTGACAAGCCTGAGAGAGGAGAGTTGCACTGGTCGTGTTTGGGGTGGCCATGGCATTCTTCACACCTCCAATGAGGACTCAAAGATGGATGGTTAAACCTATGAGAAAGTAAAGCTGCAACAGTGCAGTAATTTGCTGGTTTCTCTTTCAGAGTTTCTGTTACTGTAGCCAACTTATTGTTAGTGGAAGCTCTTAGAAAGGATGGAGATGGGGAGGGAGGAGGAGGTGGAAAGGGAGAAGGTCTTTTTTTTTTTTTTAAACAGGATCAGCTTTCAGTGGTGAGCATGGGCTGAGCTGAGTCTCATTCCCCTGCATAGAGAATGGCTGCAGGCAGTGTATGCAGCAACTACCACAGGAACTTGGAATTTCTGTACGAGTATTTCGTATCTCTTGGAAAGCTGCCAAGCAGAATTTAATTGCTTGTGGTGAGATTTTTCACTGTGGCTAGACAGGGCATTGAATGCTTTTGAACTTTCAAATTACTATGGAGCAGCCTGATGTAGCGTGGTTGTGTTTAACATACAGGTACATAATGAGAGATATTTCTTAATCAGATAGAGTTCTTTGATGCACTTTTTAGAGTTACGTATACCAACTAACTTCAGGGAGAGGAAGGGAGTTCTTGTAATAACACACATGTTTGTTTTTCTGTTTAGTAAATTCACAGGTGTATGGTTTTTCTTGTGTCTGCCCAGGAAACCACGTCTTGTCTCCTGGAGAGTCTGTTGGAAAAGGTCTAACGCCAGAAGCTGCAAAAGAACTCGGTCTCCCCGAAGGGATTGCAGTAGCAGCATCTCTCATTGATGCACATGCTGGAGGACTAGGTACTTAGTCACATATTTACTGTTCTGGGAAGCAGGAATGTATTGAATTAATTTTAGCTTTTTTTTTTTTTTGCATAGCCAATTTTATATCCAGCAGCCTTCTCAGATGTTGTTCTTATAAAATAGCATAACTAAAATTAAAAACAACAACAACAAACAGTAAGTACCAAAATTGAATATCTGTTTATAGATAGGCCCTCAGGTATTGCTGCTTATTTCTTAGCAGCTGGACTTCCAAATTGTGCATTAACTCTTGTCAGCTCCACTTTGAATTCCTGAGCTGAAACACCTTTGGGCTGGCAAGGCAATGTGATGAGAGTGCACATCTTCTACTGCTCAAAATTTGGGGGATAAGAAAGAAAAATAAACATTTTAAACTCCAAGTAAGAAGTCTCATGTCTAAGTTGGTTTTCGTTCCTGCTTTTTAGGAGATATTCATCCTTTAAATACTGCAGTGGGTACTTTTTCATGGAAGTTTATGCTAGCAGAATGCTGGATATGTACCAGCAACAGTGCTTTTGGTCTAGGAGTAAGATTAGGTAAATACTGTTCATCTAAACTAGCAAACAAGAGTGGAGAGAAAGGTGGCCTATGAGAGGCAATCCTCATCTGAGACTTCCAGCTTTTTTCCACAGCTGGAGTGTGGAAGGCCTGATGTTAGTGGTTTTTCTTTTCCAGCACAATATTCTGATGTGCTCAGTTCCAGATACATTGAAATACGTTTGTATTTTTCTTACTATACTGTTTAGCTTTATCTAAATAAAGTAAAAAACAAAGTGATTCAATGTAACTTTTTCAGCAGGAAATGGAGGTTTTTGAGTTTGATAAGTTAGAAAAAAATCTTGCCTCAGGAAGTTTTGGTGTTATTGAAACAGTGCTACCTTTTTGATAACACTATCCAAAATTCTTAATACAAACTCATGCCTGCCTGTGCTGAGCAGTGAAAAATAAAGCATAAGTAAAATACTTGCAGCTTTCTGCTGCTCCCTACAAATAAGCCCTGTGTGTGTCAGCTGTGCTGCTATGTAGTCACAAGCCAACTAGGATGAAGGGATATGAGGACGTATCTTTAAAGACACTGATTTTTTTTCCCTTGATTTTCTGATTATTTAAGTAACTTTCAACCATAATTCTGTGATAACCATGGCAACCATGATAAGAGAAGACCCAGCAGACAGATTGGTAACAGAATCTTGTAGTTGTGACCTAAACAAGAAAGTGTTAAGCAAATGTAGCATACTAACCACAACACTTGGCACCTTTCACTTCGTAAAATCTATGGTTTTGAAAATATAAAATATCCATCACATGTTTTTGCTATCCTTCTAGAAAGAGAAATATTATTATTTATGTGGTAGGATTGCCAAACCAGTCTCTAGACTGCATATTATCTATTAAAAAATAATGGTCAAGAAAACATGGTTTGTTATGTTGCTGCAATGCCATGCAAGCAAGAATACAACTTAAGAAGAGGAGGAAGGGCAAAATTTCCACTTCAGCCTGTCCTTAACTGATTTAAGCATAATCAGATACGTGGTGAAGTTTCACTGCAGATCTGCACCATTCTGGAAGCAGTTCCTGGCACTTCTCTGGCATCTCCCAGTATAAAGTTCTGCTGCAGGCTGAGCGCTTGCTGTATTTGTCCTCCTTCCTGTGCTATCCTGCATGTAGAAGCTTCACACAGAAAGTTACAGCCAAGAATGGCTCCTCGTAGGGAAGGACTAATGCGTTCTGTAGATAGTTCTGTCTGACACAGACAGCAGCAGCAGCCAATACAACAGGGCTGGCAGCCTTCCAGTCTGCTGCCAAGTTCTCCCTTTTACCAACTCATCCCCTGACAAAACACATCAAACAGTGTGCGTGATAAACTGTCAACAAATAAACATACCTGCTGTGGTGCCTTTCCTAGCAGGGCGGTCTTTTTCTCTGTATGTTAGCACACTGCTCAAAGGAATGAAGGTCAGGTTGTAGTTGATACAACGCTTAAAGATCATGATGATAAACATGAACAAGAAAACATCTTGTGTCCTCATGCATCTGTAATAAAAAAGAAATATTTTATCAGAGTTATTTTATAGCTTTGTTTATTGAGAAAGTAGAATTTTATGATTTGTGGTAGTGGTGTGAGATATTTGGCAATTATTTGTGCATGGAAAAGCACTGTTTTGTGAGGGTTGGCTTGCTCTTCACTAAAATAGCATTTTGATTTTATTTTAATAGGAGTAATTGGAGCAGATGTGAGAGGACATAACCTGCCATGTGAAAACCAGCCAATTACATCACGAGTTGCTCTGATCTGTGGAACATCTTCATGCCACATGGGGGTAGGTTGTATGTATAGTCCTAATTTGTAGAGAATATAGTAACTTATGTGTTTGGAGGGAAAACTGACCTTTGTGCCTCTCGTCCTTTCCCTTGATTTTTTTTTTTTTTCTGTTAACTCTGTCTTTACCTTTGGTTATTAATTATATATTACCATGCATTTAGCAAGGACTTTAATAGTAGTAGAAATCAATAGTGAAAAATGACATGAAAAGTAGAAACCACGATGCTAGAGTGGCTTAAAGAGCAGGCTGAAATCTGAGCCAGACTCTGAGCTTGAGTTATCTGTGACAAGCCTGTCACTAATGTGTTACAGAATAGTGTCTTTGGAGAAGGAATGCGTGTCTCCAGTCACAGCCCTTTTCCGCCACCACTTCACTTAATCAATATAAATCATTCTACCTCTGTAAGTTGCCATGATCTATGGAATTACAATCTGTATCGTGACTAAAAAGAAAGAAAAACCTTGATAAGCAATTTTCTCTTTGCTAATTTTCCTCGGTGAATTAATACAAAAGCTTTTTCTGAAATTGCAATTAAAATTTAGTGTCTGCTTTTGAAATTTATACCTTTTTAAAATGTATGAGTCTGAAAGCATTCCATTTAGATAAGTACCCTTTTCTGCCACATTTTTTATTTAAAACTCATTTCACTCTTAAATTTAGACTGATTATTGACTTGTTTTTTTTACTAAATGAGCAAATGGCAGTGGGAGTGCTATTGAATTTAGAGAGGTCTAACATGCTTCATGGAGAGAGCTCTCCTGTAGAGAAAAAGAAAGGAAGCAGATAATAAAGCATCAGGTTTAGCAGAATCTATAAGTTGCCTCTGTAGTAACAGCATGCATTAAAGTGATCTTGTCACATGGATTGTAGTGCAGCAAAGCATTTAGGCACGATTGAATTTAAAGATAAAAATAATCCCAGTATTGTGAAGCAGAGATTTAACAAGAGCTTAGATGCTGTAAAACAATGGGGAATATATTTGGTTTCGTTCCCAAGCTGTAGATTTGAATATCTAGTGTGCTGCTATTAGCTTACTTTGTCTCTGAAAGATCACATTGGTGTCTATACCTATTAAGGTGCTGGAATGGCACCCTGCAAACACCAGCTCTGGGGGTGAAGTTGCCCTTCCAAGCATGCCCTTACTTTCACTGTTTGCAGTTCATTTGGTGAAGGTCCTTCAGAAGAAGCCATTTGCGTGAACTCTTCCTAACCTGTTTCATTTAGCTGAGTTAGTTTAAATCATTAAAATAAGCTGGGTTAATAGATACATAATACTGGGCTAAAATGAGCTAAGAACCTCTCAATCAGTTTCCCCCAAAAGGTCTGAGGGCAATGTTGAAGGGCTGGAAACGAGCCAGCTGGCTGTAACTTATTCCTTTAGTGTAACTCACCCTGGAGGAGGACATGTGTATGGTTATTTATTAATTTTTAAAATGTGTGTATTGGTAAATTCTAGCATGGTTCTGAACTCAGTTCACAACTGCAGTTTGGGGAAAAAAAAAACCAACAAATTGAATGAAAGCATATCAGTGTAAAGACTTTAAAAGCACTTTTTGTGTGCGTACTCCAAGATGCTGTGAGACGTGGCCCCGTTAGCTGCACTAATGTAACAGAAGTGGCATGGCAACATCCATGTTGGTGTTACTCATTGTTCTGTTCTGTCATTAAAGCTAAACTGAAGTGTGCCTACGCTGTGCACCAGAGACAAGATGGAACCTTTCAAGACTCTTAATCATTTGAATGCAAACTCAGAAATAGATGCTTGTGCAGTGTTGGGTTTATTTAGATATAACTACTCAGCATTTTATAATCATTTCCTTAACTACCTTCCTTCGCTTATCTGATCAGAGGTATAGCAATCTTTAGCAGGCAAATTCTAAACTGCTCTGCATTTAATCTATGGAAAGATTTCTGTTTACTGTTATTTTATCTATTACCTACGTACACTACATGAAGTGAATGCCGAGCACACAGCACAGTTGTATTTGTGTTTTAATGAGACCTATATGCAGCTGCATTTGGCTGGAATTAGCTGTTCCTTTTTTTAATTAGGGCTATAAAATGAAAGTATATTATGCTTGTGTTTTGATAGAAATATATATTTGCTCTCTCTGTGTGCACCAAGGGACCCTCAGGGCTATAGAGATTAATCATCGAGTTTAATTTAATGCAGTGGGAGAGAGACCTGTGTGGTCAGGCGGGCATTAAAAAGTGCCTTTGATCTGCCTCAGGTGCACTGAGCCCCAGTGAGCCAGCAACAATAATACCTTTGTGAGATGATCAGAGACGAGAGAGGGAGAAAATGGCCTGTGTGGAAACTCAAGGCCGTCCTTTGTTGTGGTTCTGGCAACCGAAAGAGCCAACTGTCAGGAGAACTTCAGCAAACAGAAAGCAGGGTGAAAGTACGGCTGGATTTTTTTCAAGAGATTGTAACAGGAAACTGTTCAAAATCATCTGCTATGCCTCTCTCCCCTCCCTTCCTCCTCTTGGTGGGGGCAGGAGCATTACTGCTGCTGTGTCTGTTGGTACAGTATTTCCACTCTCAGACCGAATCCTCCATGAGTCACAGAGCAGGTATTGCTTGAACATGGCATTGACTTTAAACTTTTAAGAGAAACTACTCCATGACCCAATTTTTATTACCTCAAGGACTCTAGAGATCTTGAACAAAAGACTTTACTAGTTATGCCTTTGATATTTTAGAGAGTACAAATGGAACCTAATTTTACTCATGGCTGTAATAGTTTGTGGTAACGCTATCACTTTTAAGAGAAGATCCACTTCTAAGAATTAACCAGTGACAGTTTTGGATGATCAAGCATATGCAAAGCACTGTGTTTCTGTTGAGATACTTAACTAGCTTGTGAAAGAGGCAAAAAGCACAGTGTAATTAGGAACCATGGCCAGGTCCTAGCAGGTAGCTGCTAAAGTCACTGCTACCTGAGGGCTCATCCATTATCCATGCTTGGGGGCATGGGGACTGATAGTGTTTTGAATGTTTTGGAGCAGTTATTCATTTTACGTGTTATTCTGCTGCCTCCTTTGCCCAAGCAGAAGTCATCAGTGCAGCTTGCTTTTGAAATGGCAAATAAGCTGTCCTTTTGCTTTTGAAGGTCGGTCCCTTAGTGTAGGGCTGGGATTCATTTGCTGTGGCTTTGATCTCTGAGCAGTGTAGGTATTCCTTTCAAGTGATGGTACGCAGTGGCTGGCTGTTCTGCGTGGGCTGCTGCCGCCCATCGGGCTTTGTAGGAAGGGTGTCTAAGCTCCAGCACCCACACTTACTTTTGAAACTTAAAGGAAACTTTGCTTGTGCCGCCGCGGCAACTACACAAAGTGTCCTGTATCACAGAGCTCCTAGTATTCCTTGCATTAATTAGCAGTACTGCTGCTGCTTTCTGATGGATGAACGTTGCAATTTCCCGTACCTGGTAAAGAATAGCGCCTTCTCAAGGACACTAAGTTCACCTTTTTCCCCCTCATAATAACATGTATTGGGAGACTGTAAGCAATTGGAGAGTACAGGTTGCAGGACAGTTGTTCCATTTGGGAAATATTTGTTATCCTTGCCCTAACACCTTTCTGAATTCATAGCTGGAGGAATTAGACAGAACATCATCTAATGGGAGCATTGTCTGGGCTGATTTCAGCTTACTGAGAGAGGGGGCACTGAATTTCAAAACTGCTGTTTTGAAATATGATGGGTTTGTCCCTTTCTACTTAGGGTCTCTGTTTTGGTGTGTTGTTTTTTTTCCCATCCTCATTTAGTGATATGGTCATTCTTCAGTCATTCTGTTTTCTTTATCAGCGCTCTGTATGCAACACTTACTTTTTGGGATTGTCAGGGAGTCTTTTTTGGTTTGAATGGAGTTTCTTCTTTTACATCTTTTTGTTATTCCTCCATCTTTGTCACTGGGAGCTGACTCATCTTCTGTGGTGCACAAGTTATTTTTTTCCCCTGGTGGTAATGTATGTGTGGTTTGAATTTTGGAATTCAGTCCTTTTTTAAAATTTGAGAGGCACAAGTACATTGTTTTCTATCTTGCTTATATTCACTACGTGATCTGAGGAACTGAGTTTGAGCAGCAAAATGGGCAGTTTGTTTTGCTGTTCCAATGCTTACTATGGATTATTTTAGGAAGAATATCCCGTATTCTGTTTTACCAAGCCTGACTAGTCTTTGCCTGTTTTCTTCTAAGGGAACTTCAGCCCAATTTGCTTCTTCTAAATTTGTTCATTTGATTCTCGTGATGACTGGCAAACACAATAGAGCTTCATTGCTCCACAATATCCACCCAAGCTGCCAGCTTTGTTCACACAAATAGAGTGCAAAGCACGTTTCCACCCCCAAAGCATGCACAGTACGTGTCCTTTACAGTACATCCTGGAGTGGAGGCTGCAGAGACATGCTGGCTCGAAGTGTTCTCATAGCCTGATCTCTGTAATCTCGGTGGGAGCCAGACCAGCAAGTGGATTCCGTATATTTTGGCTCTGATACCAGAGTCTCCTCTTCAGAACATGCCACGTTGTTAAAGCAGCAGACCTTAGAGTAATTACTACAGGACTCCTCAGCTGCTTGAAATCATCTGCGATGAGGGGAAAACTTGCAGAGACAAAACAGCCTGGTGCTTGCTCTCCCAGCTATATTTAATCTCATCGGATGGCACTGAGGAAAGTGTTTCTGGAGCAGAGAGCTGTGAGCAGCGCTTCAGCCTCGCGCCCTGCAGCACGGCTGCACATGTGGCCCTGCTGTGAAACGTGCAGTCTCCGTGGGGACAGGGCCAGGAGCCCTCAGCGAGGAGCCTGGGTGCCAGCTGGCTGTGACCCAGGTTCAGCAAAGGCAGCAACTTGTCCTTCTGCTGACCAAGGAAAAGGGGCTGGGTTTGGGAGGGTGAGATGAGAGAGGAGGAAGGCAGGAGGGAGAAAAAAAAAATGAAAAAAAAAAAAAAAACCCCGAAAAAAAACCAACACAAAAGCAACACTTCTGAGGCTGAGGCAAT